CTTTAAAAGAAATGATCTTTCTTACGAGTACTGTTTGTGTGTCTGTGTGCGTCGCACTGGTCCTTAGTTTTGAATATCAAAATAAAGCAAGAAGTTAATTTTCAGAATTTCGCGATTGTGGCCGCCTTCGGGGGCAATGGCTAAAGAATTGCTTTGAGTAAACACCATCCTTAAGCTGGTTTCTCAGCTACAGAATAAGCTGCTTCTAATGATTCTCCTACAAAGGTTTGAAAAAGCGTTCGCTGTGTGCAGGTTCATCTCGTAGTTAGATTTCTTTTCCGGAAATATCTATTTGATCTAACCATCAAGATGCACAATGAGCGATATATCATCCGTTTCTTCTGAACAAAGTGCTCGTATTATCTCGCATGAACAAGAACTTGTGGACCATTTCAACTCTGATCGCGTCGCACTGGTCCTGGTGTAAAGTTTTGTAGGAAAAGACTGAACATGACATCCGCATCCGCTCAAAAAATTCCTAGATCCGCCACTGCCTTGAACGAATAGTTTTTGGCAAAGTATAATTGTCATAGTACAATTTTTCGACAACATCTTGCTGTGTGTCTTGATTTCATTAAGGACGATGGACATGATCCTTTTCGCAAATGAATTTCAGTTAGTGAAGGAGATCTTCAAGGTGAAAATGATGATAAGTTAGAATATTGAGACGCGAATGATTCGTGGATCGCTCGCACGGATATCTGCAGTTCTATGCGGGTTGATCGGATATCTGAACGTTTTTTTGCAGTTCGAGTCAAGAATTTAGTTGGGTTAAGGCGGCCGCCAGAAAAACAGGCACCAGGTTTTTATTCGTAGAAATCTCTTGCATGCTTAGTTTATACAAGAAAAAATACGTGGTTGGTACTTATAAGTAATTTTAGTAGTAGTAAGTAGTAGTAGTAATTTTATTTAGTCCTTGTTCTTAAAACTGACTTGGTGATGATGAAAGTTTAAAAGAAACTTTGTCTAGATCATACCGAACAACGCGTTTCAAACTTTCTTAACATTTGCTCCTCTGTTTTTGATACTTGCAAAGCGTTTCAGAAAGTTTAAAATGCGTTTAAAGCTTCAATCACATTATTCATTTTTTTTGTGTAGTTTTCATCTTATATCTTCGGATAAGAATGCTAATCTATGGGTTATGTAGGCTCCATACAAAGGAATAAAGAGATAAAACCAAAACGCTGAATTTTGAAGCTGAACGCTGAGTGCTATAACTGATTGTAGAAAGTGCATGAGTATATCGTAAAATACTTCCCTTTGTGGAGTGATAGCTCCTTTGGCCATTTGCGAACACATCTTCCCAGAGCTAGTTTGTAAAGGAGAAATCCTTTGAAAAGTATTACTGATATTAGTTCTTACTGTTGGAAGTGATACCCACAGTTAAATTTGAAAAATACCAGCGAATGTCGCAACTAGTTTCAAGAAACATCTATGGATCTTCCTGGGCGTTTTTCATTACAACTATGGAAAACCGTTTTATACCCAACATATGAAAAGTACTGAATATCAATATCATTTTCGAATTTGAGCGCAACAACCGGGACAGTAAAACTGAGAAAAATAATCTAGTTTTTGACTGTATTATAACAATTGCCAGCACTTTTAAATTCGATCGTGAAGGGCTGATATTAAATTCCTGCTCGATTCAAAACAAATAGATTCTACGTAGTCCGTGTTATATTGGCCAAAACTATCTTCTTATCGCAGTTCAAAGTGCTACTTCAGTTGACATTGGGATATTGATAGCAAAGAGAGATTTAGGAAACGATCTTGAACTGCAGTATTATTCCGACTGAAAGATGAATCGCAAAACCTTGTGTTCGATCTAAAAACTATTAGAGCAGACAAATGGCACCATGTCATTTTTTCTGTTTGCAAAAGTTGGAACTTAAATTTTATATAAACAGTTCAATGCTCAAAGAATTGTCTATTGTCGATTGGTTTAAAGAACAGCTAAACTTTGAAATATTATGGCTTTCTTCTGATTGTTCCAATGGTGCTTTAGGTAATGTGAGTGATTGGGTGAGAAAGTTGACAGCTGACGAGATTGAAATAAATCACGAAGAGCAAACTTCGCAGGCTATGGTTGATTGCGTAATCTCGCTCTTGGCTTGAATAGAATTGATTTAACAGGTAAATTAGTGAAGAGAAAGAGAGTGTGAGAAAAATCACTTTGTTTTTTTAATATCTTTTTTTTCTAAATTAAAACTATCCAAAAAGAGAAGAAAATTGCACATCGATGAAAAAAGTATCTGAAATCTGTTGAGGATCTCAGTGTATAAGGAACTTTTTTACAGATTTCTATCAAGACTATAAATACGGTGAAACTGCTGTCGACTTTGAAATAATAAAAGTTAAATCCAGGTTTTGTAATGAGCAAAATTTGTTTGCATGAATAAATGCAATAAACATTTTCTTGGTAGTTTAATTTATATATCATGTTTTTCCTCGAGAAAGATCACCACTTTCAACGGTCTTCTGCAAAAATTTATGGAAGTAACTTTTCTTTCCGAATATAGGTAGCTTTTTGCAAAACGACTAGATTTTCACAGACTTATTGATAAAAAACTTGACTCCTCTACTATCACGTTTTACAAAACATTTTCGTAATTTTACAAAGTTTTTTCAGTTTCGAAAAAACTGTGCTGCTACTTTGGGCAGCATCGAATGTACTACTTTTTGGCCACCAAGAACATACCAACGCTCCAGATAAGGCTTATATATTTATATTTTATCCTCAAAACTGAATATTTATAGTTCAAGTACATTGCGCCGTAATGTATTCGCAAAAAGCTAAAGTTTTTTAAGAATGCAGTTTTTTAATCTGTTCCAAAGTATTCCGTTAATCTAATATTAATCAACTGTACTGCTGTTATTTTTATAGAACTTATATGTTCTTAAGATAATTATAAAAAAAACAACCAATTGAAAATGATTGACAAAAGCAAGAACCAGATACGAAATAGTTCAATAAATGTTTGCAGAGTGAAGATGATATTTGGTTTTTGTAAAAACTTTTTGTCAACATTTTCGATCACGAGGCAAGTCGAGTAGATTTGAATTTTTTACCAGTGTTAATGAGGATAAAGATAGATTGAGTCCGGAAAAGAAGGAGAGCAATACTATTTGAACATGATAGGATTGCGTTAGCTTAATGAATCGGTTACGCGCTTTAAAAAAGTTCTATGAAATATATTGGAAATATGCTATTTTAATGTGTCTTTTTTCGAATTTGAACGAAAACTGCACAAGATGGTGGATGAATCAAAGGAGTTCGACTTACTTGAACTGAGATAGACGCAGAACAACAGTAAGGACAAATACAGATCGCTTAAACTTTTGTCCTAGACTGTACATATTGATTGTATTTATTACTTGTAACAATTAGTTATTATATTTTTGTGGTGCAAAAGAAATGGAAAAAACGTCGAAGTCTGTTACTCTATATTACCGACTTCTAGACCAATAATATTGCTTTTTTGTTGGACAAAGCAATGTCTGAACTACCATTTTTGTACCTCACATATTTTTCCAAAATGTGTTTGAGAAGATGAAAAGCTAAAAACTGGGTATCTATAAAAAGGTGCTTGCAACATTTTTGAAAATTGAAAAGTCTGTATTTCTCGATTATTTTGAGCTACAGAGATCAAGTTTTCACCAAAAATACATCAAAATGGAGCACATCAAAAACTTTATCGATATCCTCTTAAGTAAAATATTTCATGTTCATATGGACTCTTCAATCAAAAAGACTTGAAAAATAAAATTTTTGTAAAATAAAGGCATTTGTAAAAGCTATCTGTTTGCAAAAACATGAGCCATCATCTACAGAAACCACGCAAGAATTCAATTCTTTTTGCGTTATTTGTTTGAAATATGTGAGATCATGAAAATTTATCGCAAAAAGATAATTCAAAAAACATTTTTTATTTTTGTAAAACAGTCAGGTATTGAGTACGAGCCAATTTTGTAGCTCTTTACATAAAAAGCAATACTTTGCTATGAAAACCAAGAGTGTACTGGAAAAATATGTGCGGTACAAAAGTTGTAGTTCAGTCATCGCTCTTTCCAACAAAATAAAAATTTTTATTGGGTCTAGAAGTCAGTTATATGGTCTGACGTACTTCGACATTTTTTCCATTTCTTTTGCACCGCATATTAATTCTATGTTACGCTTTATGAAAGCTTTTAATATATTTTTCAGTTGAATACTTCCTGAACACATTCAATGTTTTATGGTAAACAGAAAATGTATATTTTTGTCAAGTTCAATATTCTACTTTGTCTTATCTCATTTGTCGAAACAGTTGATAAAAGTTTACTCTCTTAAATAACGACTGTTATCCATCATTCCCGCTTTATTTCATGTATTTCCATGCATGTATGTGTACAGGTCATTAAGTTTATTTTGAAACAATTCACATGCTGATTTTTCTTCATTAGTAACTAACATAGTTCTCTTATCAATATATTTTCCTAAACACTGTAAATGTTGTTGTTGAAATATGTCGATGACAATGTACAATACGAATTTTTTCAAAAATTCTGTTTTAATTTAAATTTTTTTTTCGTCTTTTGGTGTGTTTTAAAGAATCATTTAATATAACACGATATATTTGATTTATATAATCAACAGGATTTTTTTTCCTTGTACCCTATAATGGTGTCTACATTTTCCCTTAATTCGTTGGATTCTCCTAAATGGTATCCACAGTGAGCAAATACCAAGTATGTAGTGGTGCCCTCTACAGTTGTAGGAATGATACATTAATGAGTGAGTTGTCGTGTTGGTATATGAGTAATGATATATATATATATTCTTTTCTTTTCGTTCTGCTTTTTCATGTTATTTCTATTAAAGTAAAAACAATATTTTTTTTACCTTCACGTTTTTGTTTCTTTTCTGCCTAGAATAGTTGTTGTTGTCATTGAGTATTGACGTACTTAGATAAAAATAACAAACTAAATAAAATAAAATCTGTTATTTGAACACAAGAATGACTGACCAAACAAAAATGATAATTATAACATCAGATGAGAATATTATTCGTCAATTTGCTTTTAACAAGAATAAAAATACTACTCATATTATTGATATGGATAATAATAATAGACAAATCATACCAATTGAAAAAAATAATAATCATACGATTAATTTGAATTTTCATCCTGAATTAACAAGAAATAATCAAATTCATAAGCGAACAATTAACACTATTGATCATAATCAATCAAAAACAGTTAAAACACGAAAAAAATTAACTGATCTCATTTGTACTATTTGTGGTGATCATGCTATTGGATATAATTATGCAGTTCTTTCATGTGGATCATGTAAAGCTTTTTTTCATCGAAATGGTCAACAAGATTTGGTTAGTTAATTCTCATATTTTTTTTTTGTTAAATTTTATATTGATTTGAAGTATTTTTAGAAAAGATTTAAATGTTTAATGAATCATAATCAGTGTGTAATTGATTATAAAATAAGTCGTAAATGTTATCGATGTCGATTAGAACGATGTCTTGCTATGGGAATGAGAAAAGATTTAATTTTAAATCAAGAAGAAATACAACGAAGAAAAGATTCTGGAAGAAATCGAAGTACTTCTTCAAAACATTCATCAACAATAGAATTGACAA